GAACCACTGCCAGTCTCCTTCCTGCTGTGGTAAATATAGAATGAGATTTGGTGAGAGGGGAAAAAAAAGTGTTTAATGATATAAAAGCTATTTAAAGTCCCAGAAGGTGACTTTCATCTAATGTGAGGTTTTCCTTAAAACAGTGAATACAGTGTTTCAAGAAGGAGAACTGTTTCCTGTTACCCTTTGGAGAAAAGCAACCACCTTTAGCTTAATGCAGGGTTTGAGATAAGCTATCTGGACGTGGCTATCCACCGGCTTAGAGCAGATACCTTCCTACCCTCTTTTCCGTTCTTTTTCTATAAATATTAATGACAGAACTTATAAACTAATCGATGCTACACTAACTACTGAGCTCTGGGAGATCTGACGTGATGCTGTTTTTGCCATGCTATTATTTCTGATTAAATATATTTTAATTTAAAGGCACAGCCACTTGCCTATGTTCATAACCACAGAGATTAAACATAATAGCGGGGCCCATTAACACACTTCTGTGTATCGGTGAAAATCTTGGCGCTCTACATGGATCAGGAAGCTGGCTCCTACAGCCAAGAGTGTCATCACCCTGGCAAGCCTCTGGCAAGCTCGTTTCTAGTGCGCCTTAACTGCATCTTTTATTATAAAGTTTCTGTGATTAATAGACACTAATGAATAGTTGTACCTAGTGTATATAATGAGTGTTCCGTATTATGAAATAATCCTAAGCTTCTTAGGAGAGACGCATCGATACTCACCAGTAAACCTTCTGATGATCATTATAAGCTTTGATTTTTAACTGTCTGCCCTTTGCTTTTCCTAAGGAGCTCATTTAAGTGATTTAAAGTACAACTGATTCTCTATGCAGATACATTCCTTCGGGCAGGACCTGATACTTAATAGCCAAAGAATTTCATTTCAGTGAATGTAAACAAACATGAATTGAGTAATCATGAACAATAAAGAAAATAATTTAGGTGATACAAACAAACTTTATTTTACACTTAATGAGGCATAGTTTTCTTTTGGAGAATTGCAAAGTGGGGCAGAAGGTAGGAAGCTTTTATCGGGTAAAGAATAAAGAACAAGGAAAAGAGAAATTGAACATATCTAATTGGCTGGAGCCACAGAGTCAACTTTGTTTGGGGTGAGGAGGTCTAGGTTGGCTTGGTGTTTGGGGGTTGATTGGCTGACTGTATATATTGCGTTTCTGGTCAGGCAGAGCAGGGACTAGAAAGTTATCTACGTTTTGGTTTGCTGAACTGGTACCCTTGGCAAGAAAAGAGTCCATCTTGGGCCTAGAAGTTTATTAATGAAGGAATAAGTAAACATTGCTAAGAAAGGTGAAAGTGTTAAGTGTAATCGTACCTGCTATATGTTGAGAGTCTACCAGGTGCCTCTCCTAACCTCCTAACCTCTTGTAACCTCTCCTGACTGAAATTACCTATTTTGATTCTTACAAAAACACTATGAGGCAGATATTATTGTCCCCATTTTACAGACACCAAAACTATCCTTAGAGGGTCCCAAAATGGACATGAGATGTTTGGTGTTGGCATATCCTATGGATATGGGGATGACTCAAAACGAAGTGTCGCTGGTTTCATAAAACTGCATCTGAGAAAGTGATGTGCCTGATTTTGAGGCCTTCTTGTGCTTCTCTATTTGAATTAACATCCTCAGATAAGTTGACCTGTTTGTCAAACTGCACTGGTGCGTTGTGTGTGTCTAAGCTTGCCCCTGGTGTGGGGAGCCTGATGAGCCAGGCTACGATTAGGCGAGATGGAGAGCTGGGGACTCCCGGGGCACAGGGCATTGGGCAGTGTACTGAACACACTGGTAGCGTGAAAACTCCTGAGGGCCTGGAGCAGGGCAGCAAATAGGTTTCGAGTACTTCCTTTATAATTTACTCAGGTAGTCTTTGGAAGTCAACACAAATACAGGAAAATTTATAGAGTAAACCAATAAAAACTTAAACATATAGTCTTCTAGGATCTATTCTGGTTAGTAATACTCTTTTGTGAAGGAAAAAATAGACATGATTATTAGAAAAAAATGGAAAGATAATTCAATGCACAAAAATTCTAATAGAAGAAAGCCAAATTGCTAAGTAAGGAAATATTCTTAGTGCACAATGAGAAATGTAAAAAAAATTAAGAATTCCTCACATTACTTGTTGTATCCTGACAAAACCAGCTGGATGTAGTTAACACCAAACTTTTATTTGAAGCACAAATATGTTTCATTCTTTAGTGCTTTCTTGTGTTGAGATTATTTCCCAAATTCTTGCTTGGTTTCAGTGGATTGATGAGTAACGACAGACTTAAGTGATACTTGTTTATCCTTTTGAATATTGTATGGATTTGTAGGTTTCTAACCTCTCCTTTTATTTGGCTCAATTACCCGATTTAAAACTGCTTTTCAAATGCCACGTCTAGTTCTTAGGTGATGGGGTCCACCACCCCTTAGCTCCACAATGATGCTACATTTGAGCATCTTCTTGGCCTTTATCACCTTCAGAAACAGCTACGTGATTTCTAGGTATTTGGTCTAGTGGTCAGAGCGATTGTTAAAACATGCCTAGAACATGAGAACATTAGATGACTCTGTGGCTTCTCACTTTTGCCTCCATTTTTACTGAATTAGGGACGTGATACTTAACTATCAGATTCTTTTCTTTCAAATACGTGCAATAAGTGGCAGGAATGTGGTACATATAGTCTTAAACTAAAGCCCTCTTCCACTGCTTACCCTGAAGCAAATATCGTCATGAATTCCACTGAATGTTCAGTATTGTTCTTGATTATTTCATGAATGAGTTTGCTTGGGACAAGAGTGCAGACAAGGAAAGACTTGTACATCAACGTTGTAGTCATCTTCCACTGATTTTATCTCTGCCTCCACACCCTCTCTCCAAAATTCTTTTCAAAGATGGATAATACTCTTCACCACAGTAAGCAGACAGCCTTATCAATCACCAGCTGACCAAACCTCTGGCCCTCACTTTCTGTGTTAATTCTACTAATAGTTTACCTAAATGAGACTTGGGATTCGAGAGAATACCAAGGCAATTCTGCGGAACACGAAGATAAAGTATTCAAAAGAACATCATGATATACATCTAAATCTTTTAGGCCTTCTATGTGCAGTTTCTGGGTTAATCCTAGAGATCAGGTTCAAACACAACCCACACCAAGTTCATTTGTAATATGCCTCTCCCTCCAAAATACCAAGCAAGATAGCACTTAAGAACTAAACGTTTATTAATAATATTTAGTACTTTTTAAGGTTCAAAAATCATCTTATTTAAATACCTAAAAGTTATGAAACTTGAATACACTTAACATTTAGGATTTTAAGTACCTTATTCAGAACTTTTGATAGACTCTGTTATAGTTACATCAGCTGAGTAGCATTCAGGAACTTACGGAAATGGGCTCATTCAACCCACACTGTTACCTTGAATTTCGTCGTATTTTCTGCCCTTTCATGGCTGATCAGTATGACAGTCTGGAATAATGCTAGTCAATATATGAAATGAAAAAGCACAGCATTTAGAGTCATATCTGGGACTCTGATACAAATATTCATAACTTTTTGGCTACATGACCTTGGGCAAGTCATTTACCTGCAGGAAATCGTTCACAGGGACCTTGTAAGACTGAGACGAGAAAGTTCTTTGTGTAAAGCGAATGTCTCGTATCCTACTATATTAAAAATCACATTTTAGTGTAGAGACGGAGCTCTCTAAGTGTGGCCTTCGATTTTCACGGTGAGAGAGACTCAATGACTACCACTAAGGAACATCATATGACCTATGGCATAATTAACCTTTATAAAGAGGCCTTTAGTGGGATCTTACTATATATTTTTTAATGTGTTTGAGACACAGGAATTAAATTTTCCCCTAGTTCTTCCAGTTAGTAAAGGCTAACATGTACGAAGCAGTTCCTGTGCGCCAGGTACTGTACTAAGCCCTTAAGGTAAATAAGCTCATCTCCTCCTCCTATGAGGTCAGTGCTGTGGTTCTACCCATTTTACAGATGAGGAAACCAGGGACACAGATTAGAGAAGAATCCTCCATCGATCATGACCACAGCCAAAACTTCATCCATATTCACTGCATTCTATATACGCTGATATTTTCTCCTACTCCCATATGTCAGACCCCTGTAGAGGCTACGACAGAATCCTAAGTCCTTTCTGGTACTTTGGGGGTAAGTAGGACATGCTGGACCTAGATAATTGACACAGCTGGGATAATCGAACACGGCCTGATGGATCTTTACACTGTCCTGGCAGAATATGCCACGTCCACAGCTGCCTATGAAGTTGGAGAGAAGAGCCTACACCGCTTTGCAAAGCCTGGGGGAGGGCTGCGAGTGCACAGGTTGAGCCCAGGGAGCTGCTCACCACGACTCTTGGAATAGCTATTGTACGAAAAGGGCACGCAGAATATTTTCCAGATCTCCCAACCACACGGTCTTCACCCTAGCTTTGGCTTCAGCCACCAAAACACGTGGTTTGGACACGATTCTGGAGTCAATAATCTTTCTAGCACCCTGTGCTTCTCCCGCCTGCTCCAGAGTAGTCTGTCCTGTGTTCTGTTCCCTTAGGATTTGCTAGGACGTGAGTTGATAAATCCGTTAACACCTAGAGGCGATAACTGGGCATTGCTTACGTGGGGGTCTTCGATACCTCAGCCCTCAACAGGAGTGGCTAACTTGGGAATTTAAAAGCGCTGTGGCAGCTCCGTGGGAAGCTGTTCTGGAGAAGGTCCGTTTATTGTACTTCACAGGCTGCCTGCTGATGCATGGAGCCAGCCGAGGCCAGCACCGAGGATGGCTTCAAAGGCTGCAGGTTCTAGTGAAAGCAAGTTTATTCAGCTGCAGTTTGGACCTAAGCAGCAGAGGCCAGAGCAACATAGTAGTTTCTTTGGGCCACAATGGTCAGAAAACTGTAACTGAAAAGTGCCCACGCAGGAGAGACTTACTTCATCTTTAAGTTTTCCTTAAAAACAGGAGCAGACTCAAAACCCGGGATAAGGCACTAATACAATTAACGAAGGCAGTAAAGCAGAGCGATGAATCTTACTTTGCAAAATGATTCCAAAGGCCTAAGATGAAAGAGACGAAGAAAAAACTTAATGGTGCAGCGTAAGACCTTCTGCCAGGTGGGTTCTTTGAGCACTGCCCCCCCCCCATTTCTATTATTAATTTCTCAGCAGATCTTTCTTTCACCACCATCACCAGCCAAAAATTCCACATAACTCAAGACAGTAATTTACTCATAAAGGAAACACACCTGCAACTTTATTAATAACCAACTTTTTTATTAGAGCAGATACAGTTGTGAAAACTGTACATTATACATTTTGGTTTCAAGGATTATAAATAACGGAACTCGCAGGTAGGGAGTTCTTTTTCACAGCAAGAAACTTTAAATAAACAAAGTCATGTTTTATTAAGTACATTGGCAGACTTCATGTGCTGTCCAAAATGTAGAGTACAGTATAACAACCCATTAGAAAGAGCCTTTCATGTAAAATACAGCTGTGCACATTTTAGAAAAATACCAACAATTTGAGCTTTGTTTTTAAAAAAGCTTATAAATCATACATACATTTATAAATGGAACCAACATGCTCACTTTATAAACATATCCTTTATTATCTGTTACCCATTATTTTCCAAAGCATTACACATTCGAAATTAACACTTAAGATTAAATATTTTATTTAATTTTTTTAAAAAATCAGCTTTCCCAGCATCAAGAGCGATGGGGTGAGGAAGGAGCAGTGAGAATATTGAGACTGACACAGGAACTGAAACGTTTCTTGGGGAAAAACGTATACTTCCTAAATTTAAAAGTCAAAGCAAAATGTAAAAAATAAATAAATATACAAGTTGTAATTTTCATTTGCTCTCTTTCTGCTTTCTTCTTTATTCCATATTGGTCACACCCAGGATTCTCAACATATATGTACTTTTGCGAAAAACACCACTGCGTTACTGCCCTGCAGGTGACAAAGCATTCAGTCCACACCTGTGCTAATACGGGAATTGTCTCTTCTGCGTCGGAACAGTAGCAGATAAGGTAAAAAGAATCTGATTAAACCATGCAGATCGTGAAAATGTTTAGGAAGAGCTCCCTCTCCTCAGTAACGTCTTACCAAGATTGGACAGATAACTTACCTCCCCTGATTTTCTTTTTAAATAAGTATTTTTATAAAGACCACGTAGTTTCTCTAAATAAGCATGCTTCTGAGTAATAAAGAATAAATTATAAAACAGCAAAAAAATCGGATTATGTCAGAATAACAAAGGACTGCAAAAGACAGATACTTAAAAATTGTCTAAGCCTTTAAAATGTGAAATACAATTACAAAAGGACTTTGAAAAACATGAAAGGCGTAAAATTGAGAAGCACTGATTTTAACAAAGCTTTATGCTCTACCTGAACGTATTCAACAAAAATTTAAGTTTGGGGGGGAAAAAAAGCAGTTATTAATAGCATCTTGCTTAACTTTCATGGGAATTAACAGAGCTACTGACAAGATTTTATTTGGTTGGCAAAGTACGTCAGCAATGAAACTGAATCCTTTAAACACCGATTACTGCAATCCATGCAACATTTTGACTCTACTTCTTAGAATTCTCTTGTCTTTCAGCTTTTAAAATTTAGCACCTCCTAAGTGCGTAAATAATTCATCTCAGTAGTGTTAAAAATGTTTAAAGTTAAATTATTTTTAGGTAGGTGTAATGCCTTTCAAATTGCTAACTTTTAAATAGCCTTTTACAGGTTTAGGAAGACTAAACGACACGAAGAATGATGTATTGCTATCAAAATAAACACATTTTCTCTAGCATTCTGTTGTTTCTTTTCCTTGAGATGCGACACATGTGCTTCAGCCAGCTGGGACCGCATGTTGAAGATGACTATACATCGGATTTAAATAAACAGCAGAAATGAACATAATCGTGCACAAGCCAACGAAACCTTCTCTCCCGGGACGTTCCAGGAGATGAGAAAGCAGCAGGTCATGGCATAAGACTGGTGAGTGATGCGGCTACCTACTTCTTCTAATGAGACAGGAGTGAATGCTGGAACCACGGCCACAGCAACACAATCCTCCGACCGCATTCCTCGGGCAGTCGTTTGTTTCCCCAGCTCCCTACTAGAATCGTCAGATGGTAAAATAGTAAGGCAGCTGTTGACTTCCATCAAAAAAAAAATGCAGCTCCATACATTTCCAGTTTAGTCACACTCTGCTAGGACAGATGGAGTAGCCAATGCCAAGAACTTCGCCGGATGGGGCTGCTTCAGCAGATTTTAAAAAAGAATGATTATTAAGTTTTGCTCTCCAACATGGCTGCTTGCTTCAGCTCCCAGAGGACCCCAAAGCATTCCCGGGGGGACCGAACGGGTCCTCCGGCTGAATTTCCCAAGTTTCATCTCTCTCTCTCTCTCTCTCTCTCTCTCTGGTGATCCCATCCTAATTCCAAGCCTGCTTCCCTGTGTCTGAGTCTGACTGGGCTGTGCCATTTAAAGGGCTGATGACGCCACCGCAGAGAACTGTGGGCTACCGCCACTAGTTGTCATGACTTCACTGAAGGGTCACATTCAGGCACAGCCAAAATTAAAGTGAAGGACAATACGTAGTTGTTAAAAAAAAAAAAAATTTGAATATGGGGAAAAAAATGTTATATATTGTGATTTTATAGAGAAATTAAGGCTGTTCTTACCTTTCCTAATTCCAATCAAGTTAGAAAGTGAACAAAAAGAATGGCCAACCCGATATTCAACAGCATGACGAGGACAATCATGATTGAATTAGGGCCCTGGAAACGAAATAGAACGAAACAAGTGTCACTTTTCCATGTTAACAGCAGTAGATAAATTAGCTCACAAAACCAATTACCAAAAATATTTAAAAAGACCCAACACAGTTGCAGTAAATAAGGTATGAAGAAGGACGGCAGTTCCAAAAGGTATAAACTAAAAATAGCTAGGCTGTATTTAAATGGAGCCATCTCTGAACTTTCACTTAAAGATGAATCCAGTCTTGATTAAACCTAAAAAACGACTTAAAAAATAATCGACTTCACCTCGAAACACTGGGCAACAGTCTGGGTGAGACACAGCTCACCATTAAGGGTTTAAAAACTGATGGGAATTAGATACGCATTTTTGTTAAGGTGTATGTAAGTCGTCGGATAAAGAAGAATCATTTCCTCATAAAGGCAGTTAGAAGGGGAGAGTGAAATCCGCAGACAATGAGGCTGCTCTGGAAGAGTTTAGGAAAAACTCAAAATGAGGTTCTTTGACTCTTGCTTTCCCTGGTTTTCTTTTTCTTTTTGGATACTATCCCTTCCTTAAGGTAAAAGCTGCAAGTGGGAAATTGAGCCCTCTCAGAAATTACTGTGCAGGTCTAATTTTTAATTCCTCTGCTTAAAGCCACAACGTTTCAGAAATCAGGTTACGTTTTAACAAATCAGAGTCCTATTTTGCCAAATACTGCTATAAATAAATACCACATAGCCCAAGGTACCCAAAATTTACTTTTTTTTAAAAAAAAAAAAAACAAAGAAACCTTATATGACCCATCTTTTTAGATCTGCCTGTGCTTGGCCATCTTTATTACAAAGATGCGATCTTGGTATTTACTATTAAAATAGTGTCTAATTCTTAAGTAGCATTAAAAGTGTTCTAAAAAGTGTTCTAAAACTTGCCATATAAGAGAGGTTGGGTAGGTAGTTTTATTCTCATTCTACAGATGAGGAAACAGTTGTACTATATTTGACTATCCAATGAGACAACAGTGAAACTGGGTCAGAGTCCTCAAATGTCGTATTGATGTGATTTTTTTTTGCGGGGAGGGGTGGGTAAGTGAGCAAGGGAGACCGGAACTGCCACTGGTCCAGTGCTTATCTCGCAGGACCTAGGGCTTGAGTCTCATATCCTTCAAGGACACCTCCTTTCTGGATGAGGTCACAACCTCCTTGGTAGAGGTCAGAGTACCCTGTTCTTTACCCTAATGCTTCACACTTAACTGTCGTTTCTTGTTAACTGTCATCTTTCCCCCTAGACTGAGTTCCACAGGGGCACTGCCTTGTTTACCACTCTATACCCACACATGAGGGCTGCCCAATTCATCCAGGCAACCAATATTTAATGAAAACCAATCTTTTGGTACTTTTCCAAGTGCTATGGAGGTGGTGGTTGAACTGATATAGTCACTGTATTAAATGAGGAACAGGGTGATTAATAAAATCAGGGTGAGAGAGAGGAGGAATAAAAATGGGTGCCCTCGAGGTAGGGACTGTTAGGAAGAAGAAAAAGCCTAGTTCCTAAACCCCAAGTAAATGGGAGGAAAACAAACACTTAATTCTTCACGGTGACTATTAGTTCCATTTTACAAAGCTCCGAGAGGGTTAAATGTCTTGCCCAAGGTTACTCAAGCCAGTTTGAACAGATTAGAACTGGGATTAAACTTTAGTCTGTTCACTTCAGAGCTACATGTTCTTTTTATCTCTATTAAACCCACAGGCCTTAGTTTCAAAATAATTTCCCATCAACTTCTTTAAAATGGCATTTTCATCTACATCCTGTGATATGTAGTATCAGAAAAACATCAAATCTTGATAATGACCGATGGTTCTTTTAGTAGAGCTGTGTTCTAAACCTATGTCACTCCTCAATCGTGGTTAACTTAGAACATATAAATAATGTAGGAAACTCAGAAAATAATTGAGATGATCTTTCAACGTTATTACTCAGCATGGAGATTAAGGAAATGCTATTACTACACAAACTGATTAGATCTTGCCATGAACGTGTTAAGAATTTTGGGATCGTCTCAACTCTTTTGGGTTAGTGGATTTCTTTTCATAATTCCTAAAGACAGTGATATGAAAGAAGATGAGGAAAAGTAACAGGGTCAGAGCAATACAATGTGGAGTTCAGTGACTTACACGGACGCTAGGAAAGCGGAATAATAGAGTACCTTCAGTAAAGCTACTTTCAAAGACTTAAGGTGTGCCTGGACCTTTAACTCCCATTTCATAAATCCTCATAAGGTTCTATGAATTCATCTAACCTTTTTGAATTGGTTAGTATTTTGGGCTTGTGTGTGTGTATATATTTATATACCTAACACTATTGAACATGTATTTCTCGTATATATTCTAATATACAAATACATGTATATTTCTCCTACTAGTATAGCTCCATTATATAAAGCTATTCTTAAAGATGACTCAGTGAGATGAGGGTAAACCAGCAATAAAAGACTCAAACAGCAACCAGGTAAAAAATAAATTCTGGGATGCTATGTTTAATAGGCAGATACCAAGACGTCAGTGACCTCTGTGCTCTTCAGATACCTGGGCTGGGTACAGGGTGGAAAGCTTTAAGGTGAAGTCTCATAAATATGACTGTGGTGGCCAGTTGTAGCTTAAAATAGCAAAATGAAAAAAAAAAATCAGTCTTGATTTTCAAGACGGACTGGGACAGGTGTAATAAAAGAAGCTGTGGCAGGGCAAAGTGCGAGTCTTGTTTGGAAGAAACTTTCAGGCAGTTAGAAAATAAAGTGCAGGAAGTCAAAATATGGAAAGACGTTCTAACTCAAAAGTTTTTTTTTCTTCAAGATACTATCGCTCATTTAAAATTGTGAAGAATTTTCTGCAGAGTTAGTATAGTTTATGTTAAACCTCAAACTTACTCTCCAAAAACATGGAAAAAGCAAAAAGCAAAGTTTAATTATATGTATTTATTGAATGTGTGTGTGTGTTTCAAACCTGATCTAACAGGGATAGGGATGCCTTAGGTTTTACGACAATTCAGAAGAAAGGTCGGGTAAATCTCAAACTCTGAGGCTGATCGGTGTAACTGCTAAGAGAAAAAGTGCAGGTAGTTTTCAGGAGTTGAGATTCCTAAAGAGAAGACTCCTCACTAGCCTATTTGATGATAAGGTTCTAAAGATACCTCTACTGCCTCCTAGCCAAGCTGCCACACCACAAAATCCTACAAAAAATTCTGGCATCCCATAGAATTGAGTCCACAGGAGTCACAGACTGAAGGGACGTTGCACAGTGATCCTTGCCAGGGCTTCCCTTCCCCTAAGTGTCAGCCTGTGTCCCAGAAGAGTCTCTCTGGGTTTCTAGGAGATCGATATCCAGGGTGATCCTGAGGGTGGGTCAAAACCTACTGGAATATTTATGAACTATTTATGCTTCAACTAGTGTTAAGACAAACTCAGTAACAGTCAGTGCTCTTGGAATACTTACTTTGTGCTAGGCACCGTGCTGAGAACTTTATAAAGTATCAACTCATTTAATCTTTACCACAACCCTTGATACAGGTACAGATGAAAAAATCAAGTCACAGAGCAGTCAAGAAACTCGCCTAAGGTCATCGAGCTGGTAAGTAACACAGCTGGGATGTGAACCTGTGAAGTCTGGCGCCAGAGGCCATACCGCTAGCCTACACTGTCTCAGCAAGCTGGCTGACTAAAATTGTGCAGATTGTTTGGTCAGCCACCCTACACGTGGTGATGCTGACTCAAGGTGGATCTCTCACAAAGATGGATTCAGTCTGCTTCCCCTCAAATGTCTGCTTCAGTGTGAACTCTGCCATGAATTTCCACGTTGTTATTTGTAAACTTCTGACTTACACAGTGTCTTTTTACCTCGAAATTGTATGCAGTGCTCTTTTGTTTTAAAGGCCATTCACTGCCTACCTTTAGGATGATTTTGTCACTTCCTAACTCTCTGTGAAGAAAATGGTTATAAGGGGTGTGAGAGGCAGCTTTATGTTATTAAGGAAGAGAAGGTTAATTGTGAAACGCTCCGCACGAAGGTGCCAACTCAGTCCTGCCTTCCAGCTCCCGACAGAGGTGCAGAGCTGCTGGCCTCCCTTCTCTCTTGGGGTGTTTAGGGGAACCCTAGAGACCAGCCTGCAGAGCTGCACGATGCTTGGCCAACTCCCAGAATCTGACTGTTTTGCACATTCGTTAAGACAGATGCTGTTTCTAAACAAGAAGGCTGTGTGAATTTACCTCTTAGTAACGTTAGTAACGTTTTACAGAAAGACTACTAGGTAACTCATCTAATGTGAGGAGCACTGGGGCACACACTTCCCCTTGGGGAGTTCTGGAAATCAACTGAACCCCACTACTGGGTACCCAAAGGTATAAACGATAATAGCCTTGCATTGCCTGAATTTCCCCTTTGTAAATCAGGCAAACCAATACTAATACGTATGTGAGGCTTTATTAACCTATGGCTATAAATGCTGAAAGCCAAATAAGAAGTGAGTTATCACATTTAACAAATTCAGTAGTGATGACATTAGCACGGACAGTTATAATATCAGGATACTGACATACCAGTGTTAAAATATTTTAAAAGATGAATGCTCACTGAACAGTCTCAAAGTTATTGTTATGAAAACCATTTATCTATATGGAGGTTGACTCTCAGAAAGTTAATCATGTTAACCTGATTTATTCATATTTAGATAATTAAAATGGTGAGAATTTTAAAAAGGTGGGAAACTGTGTTGATAGATATTAGCAAAATAAACCTAAGAAATTTCAAATATAAGTTAATTAAAAAATGAATTTCAATGTCTAACCCTATGAGTAGATAGAACAGTAAGAAAAATTTTTTCTTAAAGGTAAGAAACTGATGGATGTATTGTTGGCCAAAATATTAATCCACACCTTTATGCAAATATGTTTCTGAAATTACTAGTAAATACTGGGTTGGCTATGGCTTCCTCCCTAAATTACAATGTTTTCCAAAGGCATATGACTAGGTCAACAGATCAGTCAGCTTTTTATCAAAAATTACTTAGCTTCACATTTTATAAATTCTACAGAATATGATAAAATACTAATTCCTTTTATCATTAACAAATCTCATGGAATGAGGATGTTGGTATTTATCAATAACTGAAAGCTTTCTGGTTGAATAACAAAAACCTTAAATGCTCCAGACTCATAATAAATAAATGCTCCAGACTCATAATAAAACTAGCATCTACCAGAAAACTGAAATTTTAGGAGAACTGACACTTTGAGGAGTTAGAAGACCAAAGTGATTTTCTTAAACAGTTGAAAAATTTCACTTCTCATATGGGAAAGAAGAAGTTCTAGCTGCAAAGCCTGGCCATTAAATAAAATCCACACTCTTTATGAGAATAATTCATAATAGCTAGAAAAGATGTTCTTTTGTCTAAAGATGCTGACCATTGTGGGTGCAGAGTCAAAAGGCAGGCTAAGGACTTAGCAAATGGCAGTGGAGCCCTCCTCCTGGTTAGAGCACAGGCGCAGGGGACCCAGCCCTCAGAATTAGCTATTGTTGTTATGGACTGCATATTTGGATCTATCCCCTGCCCCCCAAATTCGTCCACTGAAGCCCTAACCCCCAATGTGATGGTATTTGGAGGGGGAACCTTTGGGAGAGAATCAGCTTATGAGGGTGGAGCCCTCAGGATGGGATTAGTGCCCTTCCAAGAAGAGACGCCGGACAGCTTGTTTCCTCTCAGTCCCGTGAGGACACAGGGAGAAGACGGCCTGTGTTCTATGGACCAGGAAGTAAGTGGCGTCTCACCAGACACTGAATCTGCTGGTGCCTTGATCTTGGGACTCCTGAGCCTTCAGAACTGTGAGAAATAAATGTTTGCTGTTTAGACCACCCAGTCTAGGGTAGTTTTGTTATAGCAGCCAGAGCTAATAAGACAGCTACCATGTAGTCCTTTTTCTGGTGGTGCCTCACGGCCCTCGGCAATGAAAGTAAAACAGGAGAGAAGGGGGCAGGGCACAACCTTTAAAAGAATGATGTAGCCATAGTACATGACAAAGACTGGTTAGAACCAACTAGGTCCAAGATGGCAGAAGATTTGACTTCCAGAAGACCTTAAGCCTCATTACATGCTCATTGTAATGTCACCATATGCTAAATGACACATCCACCAGCGCCATGACAGTTCCGAGGCCAACCATAAAAGGTCAAAAAGTGGGCGGTGACCCAATTCCTGGAAATCCCCGCCCCTTCCCTTCCCCAAAAGTTGGAATAATCCACTCATTAGCCTATGAAATTACCAGCCCATAAAAATGAGCCACCCCATATTTCGAAGCCTCTTGCCTTCCAAGATGGCCCACACTCTGTCTGTGGAGTGTGTTTTTCTCTAAATAAATCTATCACTTTATCTCCGAATTCTTTCACAACGAAGAAAGAACCTTAAATCCACCGGGAACAAAAGTGCAGAGTCCTAACCACTGGACCGCCAGGGAATTCAACAGCTACCATGAAGCTCACCAAGAAGTGCTGGTAAAGGCTTGTAAAAGTGGAGCTGCAACAAGCTAGTCACGTCAGCCTACCTGCATGAACCTACCTGCATGAAGCCTGAGGGGTGGCCGAGTGAGCACAGAGGAATTTCTGCCCGAGAGCCCATCGTGGCTCAAGCTACCAGTGCTAGGCTCTACTCTACACAGCCCGGTGCTCCCGGGGACTTTTGCTAAGCCTAGGTGCAAATCGTCATCATCAAGGCGCAGATGCCCCACACTGCCACCCGAAAGAACCAAAAGGAGCAGAAGTGAGAGAAAAACACGTCTCGCACAACTTACCGAATTGGCTTCTTTTTCCAAAGAAGGGCACGAATCGTTGCTTGCTGGATTCTTTGGTATAGCAAGTTCAGACTTCTTAGCTTTTGGCTCAGCTTTGCTTTCTTTGGCAACTGGTTTTGTCACAGATTTAGGGGGACTCCACCTGTTGGGCGATGGCTTGTGCACCAGCGCCGAGGAAGACTGGCTTGGCCCTTCCTCTTCTTCCACGTCCTCCGGGGGGTACTGGGGGGCGTTCAGTTTCACGTAGTAGCCGTGATACTGAGAGTGCAGCTCCCCGTTACTGGGGTTAGGGACGTGGTGACGGCCAGAGTACCTGGAGTGGGGCACAGCCGCTCCCACCTCCTTCGTGGGAGCCTTGGAGGTCAAGGGCTTATTGACGGTGGCCGTCACCTGCTCCTCGGCTGCACTCCTTTTGTCTTGGTTGAGTCTGGCCCCTGAGCTGGGATTTTGCTTCTTCACGGGCTTTGGGGAGGGAGAGCCGCCTTGTTTGGGACTTGCCTCGGGAGACGCTGGGGGTGTCGTGCCTTTGCGATAAAAATGGGGAGATTCCTTTGGTGTAGGTGGCTTTTCCGGGACCTTTTCTTCTGGATTTTCTTTAGCATCTACACCTTCCTGAAATCTCTGTTTGACATAATCTGGACCTGGGGAGAAAGGGACAACACAAGGGAAGGTGATAAAAAATAATAAGGCATAAAGGCTTGTTCCTCATGGCTACTCATATTATTTTGCTAAATCAGCTTAGCCTTTTCTCTTTTTGTTTTAAACATATTTACGAGGCTTTGACTAAGCATAAGGACGTTTCATTCCCTGGGAGAAAAGATTATTTACTGATGAAAAGTTTTTAAGTTAATATATATACCATTATGTACACTATTGTGATAGCCACAAAAGTTAAACAGTCCTGATTTTTGCTGCTGGTTGAATACAGAGGCAGAATTCATATGGATAGAGCACTGGAGACAGCACCATAATTAATCTGAACGTTCCAATTTACATGGTGTAACTAAAATACAGAGTATACACTCATATACAAAAATAAACTGGCTCTTATGTTTAATATGTAATATATTAGAACACTTAAATATATTAATGTTTAATAAAGTATCTACACTGTCGGTGGAGAACATGCAGATAACATAGTTTTAATGACCCTTCATCAAAGGAGCATTTAAACTGCCTAGTTAGGAACAACTTCTGAGCTTTAGGTTACACTTTATAAGATGACTTACTCGGAGTCCCTTCACAGCCTGGGTTTGCATCAGCAGCGTTTCTGCAGGCATCAAAGTCAAGACAAGGCAGTTGTCTTTGGCTCTGTAGTCTCAGGATTTTTTTTTTCTTTTTCTGAGTACTTTAGAATTGTGTAACAATCACATGTTATTTTCATAAATAGAAGAAAATTTCACTTAAAAAAAGGGACCCTGGTGCCATTGTTATTTTATGGGCAGATTTTGGGGGGAGTGGGGATGTAAGGAGAATGTGCATCACAAGATGGTACCGGCAGTGAGCGCTTATTTAAGGAGGCCAGCGGTCCAGAAAAGGGCCTCTCTGGGGCCCTCAGAGACATGCTCCAAGGCAGTGCCCTTCTTTCTAGGCACTTTGCCCCTCAGCCCCTCCCCAGTAACCAGGTCCTGCGCATCCTTTGGCCACCACTTCACCCATCAGCCATTTTTCATCACAGGAAGTCAAGGTCACACAGTCCAGCTGGCCCTCTTCTCTGCAAATGGGCAGGAGGTGACAGTGTCATCTCTGGAGTACCCAAGGAAGAAATCACCCAGCAACCTGCTTACACGAGCTGACCAGCTCTTGTCAACTCCAGAGCACTGCATCTGTTCGCTTCCCTTCCCGTCTCTACTCCCACCTCTCAGCCCAGAGGGGCTGAAGAACAATTACCCTTAAAATTGTTAAAAATACATACTGCCTCCATCAACAGATGAATGGATAAAGAAGAGGTTTTATATACACACACGTGGAATACTACTCAGACATAAAAAAGAATGCAAGTTTCCCATGTGCAGCAACATGGATGGACTTGGAGGGCATTATGCTAAGTGAAGTAAGTCAGAGAAAAACAAATACTGTATGGTGTCACTTATGGAATCTAAAAGATACAACCAACTAGGAAATATAACAGAAAAGCAGCAGACTCGCAGACATACAGAGAACAAACTAGTGGGTACCAGTGGGGAGGGAGGGAGGGGCACTGTAAGGTGGGGGAGTAGAAGAACTACTGGGTGTAGGATAGGCTCAAGGCTGTATTGTACAACAAGGAGGGTATAGCCAATATCTTGTAATAACTGTAAATAGAAAATAACCTTTAAAAATTGTGTAAAAATAGGGCTTCCCTGGTGGCGCAGTGGTTGAGAGTCCGCCTGCCGATGCAGGGGACGCGGGTTCGTGCCCCGGTCCGGAAAGATCCCACATGCCGCGGAGCGGCTGGGCCCGTGAGCCATGGCCGCTGAGCCTGCGCATCCGGAGCCTGTGCTCCGCAACGGGAGAGGCCACAGCAGCGAGAGGCTCGCGTACCGCAAAAAAAAAAAAAAAGAAAACTGTGTAAAAATAAAAAATTTCAAAAAGGTAAATAAAAACTTTACATACTACCAACTTGTAATTGCTCTTCCCATGTTGTGAGACTGCCATTTATTATACAAGGCACTTTCCAAAATGTAAAGCCTCACCAAAATCTTAGGAAGCAGGCAATATCCCGATTTTACTGATACGGAAACAGCTGTAGCAGCTGAAAAACCCAAAGTCACACAGCTCCTGTGTATCCTTAAGATAAAATATAATGCAACGTGGAATACACTAAGCCCAGAAATGAGAATCCCCAAGGACCCACATTTATAGCTTGTACTCAGGGCCAAAAGCATAAGAGCATTATCTCATATTCCATCCTCCAGAAGACAAAGCCAAACAGGGTTCAAATTTCCCCAACAGGTCAACATCGCCAACAACTGAGATTTCCTTTTCTAAACTTGGTTAAGTACCCCCTTTAAAAAAAATTGGCAATTTTCTTTTACATTCTCCATTAAAAATGGCAGTATGGATTCTTGGCACAGAGAGATGTATCTCACTTGAGTGAAGAAAAAGGCAACTGCAATTATTCAAAAGGTGCTGTCTTTGTTTCTGGATTCTTCCTTGGTGTTGTGACTGGGACATACCACCAAGAGGAAGAAGCATGGGCAGCACCAGAAAGCGACATTCTTCATCAACAGGCTTGCCCCTACTTTCAAAAACCCACGAAGACCATTTATACTGGCCTTTCATGGAGAAGCCCCTCCTCTGCAGTGTGCCATTTACATATTTTCCTCCCACCCCTCTACCCCAGATTTCATCACAACTTGGTTTCATTTGTGCTTCTCTGTTATCCAATTTTAGAGCATTACTGAAATACCCATCTAGGCATGGTAGTAAGTGTTCCGTGCAAAGGTAATTAATAGTCAAGACTCTTAGAGCCAATCATTTTTCATTTAAGCCGCCTAACTCTGAAACACAAATTACGAAGTACTTTTTAATGTCTTCAATCTAAGGGGTCAGTGCAAAAGTTAATTTTGCAAATCCTTCTCTCTTGAGATGAAGTCATATTAAAAGCTAATGTTTAAATACACACAACAGAAAAGAACGGGAAAAAATAATCTCTGGCAAACATGACTAGTTATGCACTCTTGATGTTGGAAGGAGAAGACAGTCACTGAACCACGAGAAATAAAGCTGTCACAAAGCCTATGTGCTCCATTTTGAAAAGGTGAGACCCTAACAGTGACGCTTACAAGTTCAGGATTTATCTGCGTAACCACTGGTCTCACCTGCGTTTACTGCAGAAAGCAGATGAGAAGCTGAAATGGGAGCTGCTGACAGATCCCAGCAAGCGACAGCTGCCAGCAAAGGATGAGACGCTGCTGAAACGCTAACAGCGACAAGAGAGCATTTATTTGGGAGGAAACTCAGGCCATTCAGTAATAGCGGGTCCAAGAAAAATAATTTTTTAAAAAGGGATATGCTTTAGTTATGTGGAAAAAGAACAAAGACTTACAAGTACCTGAAGACAAAGCACAGTTGCAAACGCTCTTTGTAAAGAGTAAGTAGAACTCTGCCTGCCTCTTAACTGATGCTATCGTTAATAGGCCAAGCAGAGAATAATTCGGCCACTGGACGATTTTGTAGTAACCGACTTACGAAGCTTTATTTTGGATGCCACTGAATGTATTTATTATGTTTATGAACTCTCAAATACCGGTCTAACCACTCCTTCAGATCTTTAGAGATCTCATGCATTGCTCCTTTGCACAGTTTTCCTGTCTTAAATGTCTTAGGAAAGGCATTTCTTGTGCCCTATCTCCTAAGACATGGTTTTCAGGCGTATTCAGTTCAGTTTTATTTACAGGGCTTCTAATGATATTCAAAATCTGTTGAGCTCAAAGAATTTACCAGCACCACCTTTCAGATGAAAAAAATCCCCCCCAGCTTTATTATGCGTTAAAAATTGGCTGGATAAGGGAATAAAGGCACTCCAAAGCAGTCAATCCACATTTGCTGCCCATCAGAGGTACCTGGGGTGCGATGCCCAGAGAATTTAATAAGTATGAATCGAAGCCTAGAAATCTTGATGTTTAACAAATGCTCCAGGTAACTCTCATGTACCCAGTATTGGCATTTAAAAGTATGGCAAATTTGGGATTGACATGTAAACACTGCTATATTTAAAATAGAAAACCAGGGACTTCCCTGGTGGTGCAGTGGTCAAGAATCCACCTGCCAATGCAGGGGACGTGGGTTCAATCCCTGGTCCAGGAAGATCCCACATGATGCAGAGCAACTAAGCCCATGCGCTCTACTACTGAGCCTTCGCTCTAGAGCCCGCACGCCACAACTACTGAAGCCCGTGCGCTCTAGGACCCCAGTGCTGCAACTACTGAGCTCGCGTGCCGCGACTACTGAAGCCTGCATGCCTAGAGCCTGTGCTCCGCAACAAGAGAAGCCACTGCAATGAGATGCCTGTGCACCGCAACAAAGAGTAGCCCCCGCTCACAACTAGAAAGCCTGCACACAGCAACGAAGACCCAACGCAGCCAAAGATAAATAATAAAAAAATAATAAAAATTAAAATAAATAAAATAGATAACCAACAAGAACCTACTGTATAGCACAAGGAACTCTGCTCAATGTTCTGTAATAACCTAAATGGGTAAAGAATTTGAAAAAGAATAGATCCGTGTACATGTATAACTGAATCACTCTGCTGTACACCTGAAACTAACATTGTTAATCAACTATACTCCAATATAAAATAAAAATTAAAAATAAAATAAAAATAAATGAAAAAAAAGCACCTGGGCGAGACCTTGAAATAAAGACTTCTGACTCAAAAAAAAAAAAATTAAAAAAAAAATTAAAGTGTGGCAAAAAGTATGTTGACTAGAGGTAGAC